TTATATTAATTATTAAATAAGATGATTTTTATTTTCTTATTCATCTAATAATTTTTATTTTATAGTATTATAGAGTTCAAATTGTTTTCTCAAAATTTAATTTTGTGATTTATTAAAAAAAAAAAAGTTGTGTGCGCACCATCCATCTAAGAATTCCAGAAAAAAAAAAAAAAGAGAAACAAACAGAAAAAAAAGAGGAAAACACACAATGGGACCTGCCGCAGTGACAGTTGAAAAAACCTGGGGGGAAAATGCAAAACCGGAAAAATATTATGGTCCGAATTTAAATTACCGGTTCCTATTTCATCCAATTACAATGCCCGATTTTTCAATCAAATCCGGGCGTCGACCCTGCTCTGTGCAGTAGTCCAAGCACACAGAGGGATAGATCTGCTGCTCATACCTCTTTCCAGATCGATCTTTATGATTCCCAATCGTTTCTGCTAGTCTCCGCTTCTCCGTCGATCTACCAGTACTTCTCTTTCCTCTCGCTCTGCAATTCTCCCTGCGATTTGGTTGCATTTCATTACGTTTTCCATTCTCATTTTGCGTAAATCTGAGTTTCAGGTGAGAATTAGCTTCAAGAGAAGAGAAATGGCTGCCGGTGGATTTGTGAGCCGAGCATTCGAGTCGATGCTCAAGGAGTGCGCCGGAAAGAAGTATCCCGATCTTCAGAAGTCAATTCAGGCTTATTTAGGTAACATCTTGTCTGGCTTCCTGCTTATCTATTAGCTCTTCGTGTTTCGTTTATTTGAACTGAATCTAAAAAAAGGCGTGGTAAAATGGCAATTGATTTGTAGTGCATTTCTTTGTTTGGATGATAGTGATGATCGTCTTCCTTCCTGATTTTGATTATATATAATTTCTGGAAAGTGTTCTTCCTCCCAGAATTTGATGCTTATTATATGCTTTTGCTTCTTCAGATGGTACAAAGGAAGTCAAACAGCACCCTCTACCTAGTGAGCCAAATCAAGCGGTATCTTCTGCTGGAGATGGAAGGTTTGTATTTTACTATCTTTGGCTGCAGATTTCCGTACTGAAGATACCTATAGGATGTAGTAAAAATTGTTTTCCTTTTAATTGTTTTGGTTTATTAGTTATTTAGTTTAACTTGATGTTATCGATATGATTGTTCTAGACTATTTGCTTGCTTGCCTATTCAGAAACTATGGTTGAATATATATTATTATTATGATGAGATCATGAATGATGCTGTAACAACTCTAGACGTCTTCTAATGTTGTTGGAATGATTTTCATGTGTAGTTCACTTGAAACTGAAAGTGGTGCGGAAAAAAGTGGAACTGAAACAGATGGATCAAGCACAGCTCCACAGACAACTGAGGAGACAGAGAATGTTGATAAGCCAGTAGTTTTGAGTAGAACCATCGCAATTGCCTTGGCAAATGCTGGATACACATTGGAAGGTGCTGAGGTGGAGCTTGTTTTGAATCCTCTTCGGCTTGCATTTGAGACTCAAAATTTGAAAATCCTTGAACTTGCTTTGGATTGTCTGCATGTATGTACTTTCTTTGTTTCTTTAGTTGTTATTTTAGAACATTTTCTCTCTATTCGTTAGACTTTCTAAAGATTAGATATGTAGGGTTAAGGGATTCCCATCTGGTTGTATACCTTGTAAAACTCTTCTCTCTCTGTTCAGTGTTTTCTAAATTTCCAGTTGGTAGCAATCAATTAATTTGATCTGCTCAAATTCCATGAATGCAGAAACTAATTGCCTATGATCATTTGGAAGGAGATCCTGGTTTAGATGGTGGGAAAAATGTACCTCTATTTACAGAGATCCTGAACATGGTCTGTGGTTGTGTAGATAATTCATCTCCTGATAGGTATATCTTTGGTTGTGCTGGTAATCTGTTTCATAATATATACTACTTGTTATGCCTGTTTAATCTTTGAAACAAATGTGCAGTACAATACTTCAAGTGCTTAAGGTGCTTCTTACTGCTGTGGCATCCACAAAATTCAGAGGTACATTGCTAGGGATATTGTAGATATTCTTTTTGGTTTTATTTCTTTTATAGATAAGGTCATCTGTTGCACTAATTTCCCTATCTTACCTCTGCATTAGTCTCTGTTCCATGTTATTGTTATGTGAAAAGAGGGGGAAATGGTAATGAACTTAGGATGACATAGGTGGGCACATCATCATGATCATTGGCTCTTGAGTAGTAATTCCTCTAAGATATAGAATGCTGGGCCATACCTCACTTATCTTCTTCAAAACATTCATTTAGCTCCATTATGTGCTGACAGTTGAGACACAAGAAAGACACAATATAGTATTCTCACTTTTCTTTAGAACTTCTGATTTTTTTCTAACTTGTTTTTATGAGTTAAGTTCTTGTACTCTTTCTTGGGATATTATTACAGAGTCATTGTTGAGATGGTTCTTGAAATTAGGCAAGAAAAGTAAGATAGTATTGTTGGGGGGGCATGATATTTTACCCTTATGCGATTAATCAAAATAAACTACTTTTTTCTGTTTGGCATAAAGGCAGAGAAATCTATATGGAATAAAGGGTTATAGAATTTTCATTCAGATCTTGGTTTATATAATATCTTCTTGTATGCAAGAAGTTAAATAGGTTTACTTCATTCTGCTACCATGGTGGCAACCTGGAGGGTTAGCTTTTATTTCTTTCCTGTATTTTTGATCTTGTGACTTTAGTAAATCCAAATTGCAGTCCATGGGGAACCTTTGCTTGGAGTTATCAGAGTGTGCTATAATATTGCTCTCCACAGGTAAAATTTGTATCCATTGAGGGTTACAACTCTCCGTATTAAAGTCATGTTCATAGTTTCTTGTTTGAATCTGCAGCAAGAGTCCAGTAAATCAAGCAACGTCCAAGGCAATGTTGACACAGATGATCAGTATCATATTTAGGAGAATGGAGACTGATCCGGTTTGAAATTTAAATTTCTGAATTTTAGTGTGTTATTCTGTTATTGGAGGAAGAAAGATAATTATGTCTTTTACAGGTTCAGGTCTCCTCTTCATCTGTTCCTTCTGATCATACAGCAGCTGCTTCTGCAGAGAATTCTAGCTCCACTGCTGAAAAAAATGGGATAGAAATGACTTTAGGAGATGCACTTAGTCAGGTTAAAGGCACCACTATTGCATCTGTTGAGGAAATCCATAATCTTGCTGGTGGTGCTGACATCAAGGTCCAACTGGGTCAATTCTTATTTAATAATTAATTGCATTGTGGTGCCACTGCCTTCAGCTTTTTTTAACTATGTACACTATGTTAGATGTTTGGTTTTATGAGTTTATCTTTTTGGCTTTGTGACTTCTTTCATGTAGTGTATTATGTTCTCATCTTTGAACTTTTACATGGTGTACAGGGTTTAGAGGCTGCACTTGACAAAGTGGTCCATGTTGAGGATGGTAAAAAGATTACACGGTACGCACATGATTGAAGATTCTAGTTTCATGTTCTCAGGCCAATTTTTTTCCTTTTTATTCCATTTTATTGGATGTTTGGTATGATGACTCTTAACACTTTCTACGACTCTGATACTTCTCAAGAGGGATTGACCTTGAGAGCATGAGTATTGGAAAACGTGACGCTTTACTAGTATTCCGCACGCTCTGCAAGGTTGGTTTTGTTACAGTTCTCTCAATTTTCCTAGCATATGTGAGCTTTGTTCAAGAATCCCCATGGTGCAATATAATGTCTGCAGATGGGTATGAAGGAAGACACTGATGAGGTAACTGTGAAGACGAGAATTTTGTCCCTTGAACTTCTGCAGGTTAGTTTTATGATTTTTTTTCTCTGGTTTTATGACCATGCTTTGGTTGGTAGTCTAACAAAATGCTAATAGAGCCCTTTCCAAGCTACTTAAAGTCAGCCCAAGGCCAAGAAGTGTTTAATTCTTTGTTTCTCTGTTCAAGGGATATCTTTTTGATTCTCATTTCTACTATTATTATGTATGTGTTGAATTTCCCTTATGTTTGAGATTTGGAACTAGGGACGTCTGAAATGTTGAAATTAAATTTTATTATTTATCAACATTAACACCTGGAATCTTATCATGACAAATTGTCTTTTCTCTTAAATTTAATTCAAGTCATAACTTGCATGATACTCACCTGCCCATGGTAATGTTAAAATGGTGCTGCAGGGCCTGCTGGAAGGGGTTAGCAATTCATTCACAAAGAACTTTCACTTCATTGACTCTGTGAAGGCATACCTTTCCTATGCTTTGTTGCGAGCTTCAGTTTCACAGTCTCCTGTCATATTTCAGGTTCCCTTTCATCTATTTATATTCCTTTTCTTCATCTGGTTTTACTAGAGCTACTATGAGAATTTGCCTCTTATTATGCATTTCTTTGGCGCAGTATGCTACTGGGACCTTCTCTGTGCTTCTGTTGCGATTCAGGGAAAGTCTTAAAGTATGCATTTGATCTTGATAGATTCCTATGTTCTCTTTCTGACATGGCATGTTTGCTTTAATTTATGGTTCTTACTTTATTGTGCTTTATATCAACTATTTTCCTTTCAGGGTGAAATTGGTGTCTTCTTTCCCTTGATAATTCTACGGTCGTTAGAAAGCTCAGAATTTCCAATCAATCATAAAATGAGTGTTCTTCGGTACTATTTTCATTCTAATTGATTGAAATCCTGCATCTAGTAGCTGCTTGTCGATTTTTATTATGTCACTGGGCTTTCAGCATTTGGTCATGTTTTTGTCATCTCTAATCAGGTGTGGCTTTGCAGGATGCTGGAGAAAGTTTGCAAGGATCCTCAGATGCTTGTTGACATTTATGTGAACTATGACTGCGATCTCGAGGCACCAAACCTCTTTGAACGCATGGTATGGATATAGTTACTTATTAGTAGCAATAATGTTTATTTTATATATACATATTCAAGGCTCTCTTATGCTGTGATGTCATTTTCCTTGTGACAATACAGGTTACATCTCTATCTAAAATTGCTCAAGGGACACAACATACAGATCCGAACTCTGTTGCTGTATCCCAGACAGCGTCACTTAAGGGTTCATCGATTCCAGTATGTTCGCTGATTACTCTATTTATGTGCTTCTTTTTCTGATAATATCAGCTGAAGATGCTTGATGAACCCTTCCTGCTTGCTTTACCAGTGCCTTGTCAATGTGCTGAAATCACTGGTTGATTGGGAGAAGTCTCGAAGAGAATCGGAAGAGTTGAGACAAAACAGCCAATCTCTCGAGGAAGAGTCAACTAGAAAATCTGCTGAGATGAGTGGGAGGGAAGATTTAATGAGTAACTTTGAGAAGGCAAAAGCTCATAAAACTACAATGGAGGCTGCCATCTCTGAGGTAACTGTCAGGTTTTACATTTACAGCTTGATCGATCAGAATGCAAGTTTTTTGCAATGCAAATGACAATATTGTCATATGTATTATGGTCCAATCCTCATTAATTTCACATAAAACGAAAATGTTATAAACATATGGTTCTCATTATCACAGTTCAATAGGAATCCAGTAAAAGGTGTAGAGCATCTGATATCAAATAAGTTGGTGGAAAACAATCCTGCTTCTGTTGCTCAATTTCTAAGAAATACTCCCAATCTAGACAAGGTAGGATGCTTAATCTCATACACCTTTACTGTCAACAGTCCATGGAAGTCTTGTAACTCTATCTGATCTTGCAGGTGATGATTGGTGATTATTTGGGCCAACATGGGGAGTTTCCCCTTGCTGTCATGCATGCTTATGTGGATTCAATGAAATTTTCAGAAATGAAGTTTGATACTGCAATTCGTGAATTTCTTAAAGGATTCAGGCTCCCTGGAGAGGCTCAAAAAATAGATCGAATCATGGAAAAGTTTGCAGAACGGTATGGTTCTTTGCCATGTGCATAAGCCTTTTTCTGTGAGTTCTCAAGTAAACATACATATGAAAATAGAATCATGTGACAACATACTGGGAAGGATTTCTTTTCAGCTCAAAAGCTAGATTTTGTGCCAATTATCACCAGTTTATGCCATTTTTTCTTTCTGCTAAAAACTGGAATCTTTCATTAAATAAAGAAATTTAACTCGTTGAACAAATTTCTATTGTACTTGCAGTAACAATCCTGGAATGTCCTTGAACTGTTCTTATCTATTAGCTTGGATTTAACTGTTTAGATGCCCCGGGCACAAAAATTTTAAATCTTCTCTCTTACAATTTTCTTTTAGAGCCTTCCAAAATTTTGGTAAATTCATATGCAAATTTGCCATGCATTTGAAACCAGTATTGCTGGTTGAGAAAGCAATCACTAGTGTGTTTTTCTTTTTGAAATGCATCAGTGATACGTCAATCATTCTTCTATCAATTCTTTGAATAGGTCATTTTTTGGGGGTGTTTCTCAAAGTAATCAAGGTTTTATTTGGTAAATAGAATTTATAGCCCCTTTAACATGCTAGGTGGTCATTTGCTCTTGTTATGTGTGGCAGATATTGTGGAGATAATCCAGGTTTATTCAAGAATGCAGACACTGCATATGTTCTTGCATATGCTGTAATAATGTTGAATACTGATGCCCATAACCCTATGGTCTGGCCTAAAATGTCAAAATCAGATTTTGTACGCATAAATGCCACGAATGATCCTGAAGAGTGTGCCCCCAGAGAACTCCTTGAAGAGATCTATGATTCTATCTTGAAAGAAGAGATCAAAATGAAGGAGGATAGTGCTGATATTGGGAAAAGTAGCAGGCAGAGGCCAGAAGGTGAAGAGAGAGGCGGTCTTATTAGTATTCTTAATTTGGCTCTCCCTAAGATGAAGTCATCTACAGATGCTAAGTCAGAGAGTGAAGCAATTATTAAACAGACACAAGCTATAATTCGGAATCAAGGAGTAAAGAGAGGAGTTTTCTACACTTCACAACAGATTGAACTTGTACAGCCTATGGTTGAAGCTGTTGGGTGGCCATTGCTTGCTACTCTCTCTTTTATGATGGGGGAAGTTGATAATAAACCAAGAGTTGTTCTCTGTATGGAAGGATTTAGAGCTGGAATACATATTACACAAATTCTGGGAATGGATACCATGCGATATGCCTTTTTAACATCTCTGGTCAGGTAATTTTCCTTCTTTGGGCCCCCAAAATTTTCCCTGTTGATCATCGTTTTCATGAGGTATTCTCTTTATCGTTTCCTGTTGTATTTGCTTTGCTTATTGTTCTACTTGTTTAATTGTTCCTAAGTTCTAGCTTTTTCTTGGTTTTCATATTGGTAACATTATTTATCAATTCATGCATTGATATATAGGCTTTTAAATTTTGCATTATAGGTTTACTTTCTTGCATGCGCCAAGGGAAATGCGCAGTAAAAATGTGGAAGCATTGCGCACTCTTCTGACTCTATGTGAGTCAGAACCAGACTCCCTTCAAGACACATGGAACGCAGTTCTAGAATGTGTTTCTCGTCTTGAATTCATTACTACAACCCCTGCTATTGCTGCAACTGTCATGCATGGATCAAATCAGATCTCCAAGGATGCTGTTGTTCAGTCCTTGAAAGAGTTGGCTGGGAAACCTGCTGAAAAAGTTTTTTGGAACAGTGCCAAACTACCCAGTGAAGCTGTTGTGGAGTTCTTCAATGCGCTTTGCGGTGTATCAGCTGAAGAGCTGAAACAAACTCCAGCTCGTGTTTTCAGTTTGCAAAAGCTTGTTGAGATCAGCTATTACAATATGGCTCGTATACGAATGGTATGTCTTTTAGCCCAGCTCTTTCTAAGTTTGCTAGATGCCATTGGAAAGTTTAATTGTGCAATTTGACTTTGCATGCCAAATCTTTACTTGCACATAAAGTGATATTCCGTTTCTTAATTTCTTGTTCAAATTTCTCTTTGGTGATTTATGCTTTAAAATTTTAACTGATGTCTACCAGGTCTGGGCTAGAATATGGTCTGTCCTTGCAAACCATTTTATTTCTGCTGGGAGCCATCACGATGAGAAAATCGCTATGTATGCGATAGATTCTCTCAGGCAGCTTGGAATGAAGTATTTGGAGCGTGCTGAATTGGCCAGTTTCACTTTCCAAAATGACATTCTCAAACCCTTTGTTATTCTCATGAGAAATAGTAGAAACGAAACCATAAGGCATCTAATTGTTGACTGCATTGTACAAGTATGTATAATTGCTCAAATTTTCTGAACCTTATTTCCATTTTTGGTTTATTAATTTTCTGTTATAAACCTCATCAGGTGTTACTTTCTGCATTGCTGTTGGGTATTTTTATTAGAGTCTTATTATTTGATGTCTATGGCAGATGATAAAATCTAAAGTTGGAAGCATAAAGTCTGGATGGCGTAGTGTTTTTATGATTTTCACAGCTGCTGCAGATGATGATTTGGAATCAATTGTTGAAAGTGCATTTGAGAATGTTGAACAGGGTATTAGTTGACACTTTTTCTTCTAGAAGATTGGTTCCTTTGTTTTATGAGTTAAATTAACACTAGGATGTTTGCAGTTATACTAGAACACTTCGATCAGGTAGTAGGAGATTGCTTTATGGACTGCGTCAATTGCCTTATCCGGTTTGCCAACAACAAATGTTCCCATCGTATAAGTTTGAAGGCCATTGCCCTTCTCCGTATATGTGAAGATCGTCTAGCAGAGGTTGGTTTTTACAGCCTTCAAGCTTATTTTTCCATTAAGCAATTTGACACCATCCATTTAATCCCATATCTTTTTGTGACAGAGTTGACTGCTAGTTTCAACAAAGTTTTAGTAATTTATACATGATTCTTGATATATGTGGTGTTTTAAGGCTTCTACAGTTCTGACTCGATTATTGAATTTCCTGAAACCGTGCTTTCATTTCTGCTGAAAAGTGGGGAAATTGTTTTAACTGTTTTCTCATTGTTTATTCCAAAACAATATGTGAAAAGAGTTCATTTCTACTGCATAGCATTGTTGCTTTGCTTACAGAATATTCTTGTTAATTGCTTTAACATTGTTATTTTCTTCAGGGGCTTGTACCTGGTGGGGCTTTGAAGCCAATTGATATAGATGGTGACTCAGCTTTTGATGTAACTGAGCATTATTGGTTCCCAATGCTGGCTGGTTTGTCTGATCTAACATCAGATCAAAGACCTGAAATTAGAAGCTGTGCACTTGAAGTTTTGTTTGACTTGTTGAATGAGAGGGGTAGCAAGTTCTCAACATCATTTTGGGAGAGCATTTTTCATCGTGTCTTGTTTCCCATTTTTGATCACGTAAGATTTGTTGGAAAGGAGAGCTCAATTTCTTCTGGGGATGAATGGCTTCGTGAGAATAGCATTCATTCACTTCAGTTGCTATGCAACCTGTTTAACACTTTCTACAAGGTATTGGGAGGCTTTTGTTGGTTTCTTTGCTCTATCTAATTGTCTCATCCTGCAATTTGAGAGAAGGAGATGGCAACAAATGGTAGAAGAAAAGAATTATTATTTGAGTGGTAACACTTTCTTGTCTTGTTTCTTTTATACAGGATGTATGCTTTATGTTGCCACCACTCTTGAGTTTGCTGTTGGACTGTGCTAAACAAACAGATCAGGCTGTTGTTTCAATTTCTCTGGGTGCATTAGTGCATCTTATAGAGGTTGGAGGACACCAATTCAGTGAGGGTGACTGGGATATGTTGTTGAAGAGCATAAGGTGCTTATCTCATGTGATTAGAAGAGACTAATCTTTTAAAATTAGAATCTTTAGTAATTGTGTTACAACCAATCATATTCATTGCACTTTATTTGGATGACCAGAGAAGCATCATACACAACACAACCACTTGAGCTACTTAACGCTGTAGGATTTGAGAGTCTTAAGAACCCTTCAGTTGTGATTAGAGATTTTGAAGTTAATAAATATGGCAGAGTAGATAATCATCAGCTTGATAAAAGTGATGGTGGCACTGCAAGAACTATTAATGCATTGGTCTCAGAGGAATACAGTCAAGAATCTGCGTTGCAATCTATTACAGATGGTTCTGAAGGTTGGTTCTCCCTCACTCCCTCCCTACATCCTGCTCTCTCTCTCTCTCTCTCTCTCTCTATATATATATATATATATTTAATTTATTTTCTATCTAGAGACATGTTTGTGGGACAACAATTGATTTAACTTGTAAACAACTGAGAATTGAGAAGTTGTATAATTATCTTATAATATGATTCAGAAACAAGTTGCTGAGTATGCCATAAACAATTTATCATGTTTTATTGCTGGGTAGTAACATCCTAAGGATCTTCTTTTCTCCCATACTGCAACTAAGGGCTTATCATTATGCTACTTTTGAAGAAGCCCATGCTAGATAGCAAATGCATTTATTTAGAAGTGTCTTTCTTCTAGTAGGTGTTCCATCACCTTCAGGTCAATCTCAGAATTCTGCTGAAGCTGGGGGCGTACAAAGAAGTCAAACTATAGGTCAAAGAATTATGGGAAACATGATGGATAACCTCTTGCTCAGAAGTTTCACCTCAAAATCTAGGAATCGGACAGCAGAGATTTCAGCACCCTCTTCTCCAACTAAGGTTAGTTAATCGTGATGTCTGGCATGTCTTTTTCTGGACCTCTGGTGTGATTTCTGTTCTGTATCTCTGGTGCTTCCTAGCTTACTGTGATCAGTCTTGACCACAATCTTTTTTTTCTTTTGGCCAGAAGATTATATCCTTTTGTTAATGTTTTAAATCAACTCAGGAAGTCTTAGGCTCCATTTAGTATGGTAGTGGTTTTTGGTTTTCAAAATTCAAATAATCAAAATTAACAATCAAAAACCAAAATTAAAAATTAAAATTGCCAACTTATTGGGTATAAAATTTTAAAACAAATACCTAAAACTCCAAACATAATTAATGTATAGAACTACTTAATTTTATTCTAGGGTTTCCAAAATTTTAAAAACCAAAGCCACAACCATACTAAATGGAGCTGTAGTTTACAATCTGTTTTCTCCAGTTTTTGCATCTTTCAGTCTAGATTAGTTCACAAGCTCCCATAAGTGCTTGCCTATGCTTGCATTACCCTCAAAGTTTCAAAAGGTATTGTTTTATTGTGGATGTATGCATTTTTCTCCTCTTTCTATTGTTGTTGTTGTTGTTATCATTCCATCTGTCATGCTAGGTTCCTGAGTCAGTTGAACCTGAAATCAAAGACGAGGAGGAAAGTCCACTGATGGTAACTGTTAGGGGCAAGTGTGTCACTCAGTTATTACTTCTTGGTGCCATTGATAGCATTCAGGTGTGCTCTAGTTCTTCATGAAGCTGTTTTTGTGAAACAGATATATTAGCAAACATCAGGTTTGCATCTGATAATTCTTTTTCTGATTAAAAATGTCTTAATTTTGCAGAAAAAGTACTGGAGTAATTTGAAAGCATCGCAGAAGATTGACATTATGGATATCTTGTTTTCTTTCTTAGAGTTTGCTGCTTCTTATAATTCATATTCCAACCTCAGAATGCGTATGCACCATATTCCGGCTGAAAGGTGAAAAAAATTCATTACCCCCATGTGAAACTTTTATCCTCAGTAATATTTACTCACAAATTTTTGCCTAGTGGAAGTACTCATCATCTTTAATAGCTTTTGCAGGCCACCTCTAAATATTCTCCGCCAGGAGTTAGCAGGAACCTCCATATATCTGGATGTCCTACAGAAAACAACTTTGGGGTTTAATAGTGATAATGAACAACTCTCTGATGCTGAAAAGAAGCTGCAAGGAATAGCAGAAGACAAACTGGTCTCTTTCTGTGAAAAGGTACTTAGGGATGCATCTGATCTTCAGTCAAATGTAGGGGAAACTACTAACATGGATGTTCATAGAGTTCTGGAGTTGCGCTCTCCAATCATTGTTAAGGTATGAAGTCGTCCCCCATAATATACTTGAAAATGATGTATGTTGTGCTATTTCCATTGATGCAGTATATATTTTAGTTGCTTATTAGCTAATTATAATGCAGCAGTCATCTCTTTTATTTATAGATGCACTAGATTTGCATTTATAATAACGTAAGCGTTTGTTCCTTCAGGTGCTTAAAGGCATGTGTTTTATGAACAATAAGATCTTCAGGAGACACCTAAGAGAGTTCTATCCTTTGCTTACAAAACTTGTTTGCTGTGATCAGGTAAATCTCCCTCTTGTTTGCATGCCATTAGTTTTTTAACATGTCAATTCCAAGAAAGTAGGTGTACTATCATTCAACATTCTTTTCAGCAGTTCTTTTACAACTAAACTGGGTAATTTGATTTGGCCTGATTACCAGTGAAGCTAAAGCCCATTTTATCCTTAGCAGGTCATAATGTATTCTGTAGTTTGTAGTCTACTAACTATTTAGTTGTAAGGAAAATGAGTGCATTCGTTTCTAGTGAAACTTATTTGTAGAAGCTAATAACTATTTCTAGGGATCCATCAGGAAAGAAATCTACAATCCTCCGCACTCACCTCTCCTGCATACATAGCAAATGTGCCTTTTGCTGTTGCCACCACCAGATGTCCAATGTCTGGGTGGAGTGGCGGGAGGGTGAGAGGGGGAGTAACTATACTGTCACTGTCTGGTTGCATGCGGCCTCTTTATTTTTTCTGTGGTGCTTTTTAACTGATCATGTCTTTATCGTTTGTTCAGATGGATATCCGTGGAGCAATTACTGAACTTTTTAGGGCGCAGTTGAAAGCACTCCTACCATAATTATTCTTGTAAGCTATATTTGTCAGCAATTTTCGACCTCACTGCACATAGCGTAGCTGATTGGATCAATTCTCATCATATTTTTTGTGGGATTAACAATGCCAATATATAAGGATCTGTAGCATCTTTTAATGAAAGAATGTAGATGTTTGTGATTGACTATACTCTTTATAGTCTCTGATTATTTTTGCCAGTAGGATAGAATTGCGACCCATTCAGAAGTCAATGACCCAAGTTTTGTACTAAGATTTTAATAATCCTATTTATTATTGATTTTTGAATGTTGTGGCCATGCAAGCCGCTGTTTATCTCCTGTGTTTGCTTCAGTTGATAATCAAGATTTTTAGGGGCTGAGGCAGGTGCTCAACGAACAAGGCTCAAAAATATGCTTTAACACCCCCTGTAACCTCTAAACAAAAAAATAGTCTATTGGATTTTTAGGTTTTTACTTACATGTTTGCCTTTTGTGAGCCCTAACAATCTCTCTCATTTACTTGTAAAATGTGATGTGATTAGCTCCCGTGGGTGTAACTAGTATGGCCCTTGCATACTCCTCTCCATGAGCCAACGGGCAAAGTCATGTAAATACACATTCATGCCTTTGGCTACGCAATCCATGGGAATCCCTTGCCGGTTTCAAGACTCGTCACCATTAGCTCTAATATCAGTTGGTCTTTCGCTTAACAGATAAGGCTCAATGGAGGCTCAATACATATTTTTTAGCACCATCTTGAATTTAAAAAATTAATTTATTAGGTTTATTAGTTTTTACATATATATTTATTTTATCCTTAGAGACTTATTTCAATTACAATAAATCGTGAATATAAAACCATGTATAAATAAATAACTTCACATCTAAAAATGCCAAATAAATAAAATTAAAAACACAATTTTCCTTAAATACTAGAAACCATATCATAAACAAGTAAAATGTCAATGTATCATCAGATTTTCAAACTCACCCTATAATAGTCGAGAATAAATATAAAGCTCAATTTTCTTCACTTTCGTCCCTCACCTGTCTCAGCTCTGCCTCCGCTGCCTTCAGTAGTAGCAGCACTGCATTCTTCCATCTCATCACTCTTCATTTGCTCTCGAATAACCTTCAACTCCTTTTCTATATACTGCACACTTTCATAAATCTTCATTATATTCTTCTTATGAGTATCGATGTTTTCCATTAACTCGACTTGGTCATTGAATAAATCCACATCCATTGGCATCCTCCCTATTGCATTGACAAAGGACTCGGCCTTCTCCCTGTAAGCTTCGTTGACAAGCAAAACGGCCTCGCCATTTTTCAGGGACTTGTTGACCTGAACACCAATGATCTTTAAATTTGCGCTTCTGAAGCGGTTCATGAAGTTTTCCAGATGTTTCATCATCTTCTTGTTGTTGCTGGCGAGAGAGAATTTCCGGTGACTGCTATTGGAGAAGAATAAGCTTTGTGGTGAAAGCAGTTTACGGAAATTGGAAGATATCAAAGTGATGCCCTAATTTGACATAAGAAAGATATGGAATTTAATTGGAAGATATCAAAATGTTAATTTGGAGATACACCGAATTTCCTCTCCAATTCTTCTATAATCACCGGGCTATTCTGATAAAAACTCTCCCCTGTTTCTTGCACAATAAGAGAAAGAGAATTGCACTTGGCCCTATAAGCCTAATGACGTTAGTCATTGAATAAGTGCATTCTTTTTCTCTTGAGGGATTTTAAATCCGTCTCATATTAAAATATTAAAAAAAAAAAAGAGAATTAACTTCCAATTTTAGTTTTTTACATAAAAGTTGTAGCTTTGTTGTTAGTATTATATTGCTCTAATTATAATTTTTTTTGTTTTCTATTTGCGAAAAAATATATAAAATATTAATTAAAATTAATTAATTTATATTTTAAATAAAATGATGTGTGAAAATAGGTTTGTAATTAAGAAGCCTTATCAAATGAAGTAGTAATTTTACATTCAATTGTTTTTTCATATTTTAAAAATACTAAAAATTTACAATAATTATAATATTTATATGACACCAAAATAAAATAATATATAATATTATATATCTTAATCCAATTAAAAGAGTTAATGAAAATTACGTTATACTATCATATATTATAGAATTTTATTATCAATAAATCATTTTCTTTTACATCTATCCAACAAGGACCCTACTATACATGGCAAGATTAAGCCAAATCCAAAATACAGACTCTATTATTAATAATTATATGATTCTCCCACCATATAAAGAATATATTATGGTCAAGGGTGGAACTCTTCCACAAGTAACATATTGATCATTGGTACTGGAAATATGGAACGCTGTAAAAAGACCAACAAAATCATACAAAAACTACTCAAACCTAGCTATGGTATCCACAGCCACAGGATCAATTTACTTTAGGGGGAACTAAAATGTAGTGCTATACTGCTATGTAACCAACATACCCTTCATCTCCCCCAGCGTACCCTCCACCTTCATGGCATTCTTCTCAAGCTTATTAAGCGTTGCAACCATGCCAACGTAGTCACTGAATATTTCCACATCCACGGGCATCATCCTTGTTGCATTGACGAAGGCCTCAGCTAGCCTTCTGCCCCTCGGCTTCGTGGACAAGCAAAAAGGCCTCGCCTTTTTTCTCGGATCAGTTGACCTGAACGCCATTGATCTTCAAATTTGCACTTCTGAAGCGGTTGCAGAAGTTTGCGGCCAACTGTTTAAACATCTTGACGCTGGAGGCCAGCGATCTTCAAACTTGCAGAATTTCTGGCAGATGCAATCGGGGAGACTGTAGCTTTGCATGAAGATCAGTTTGCTCTCCAAATAAAAATGAAAAAAGTGCATTATGGGCCCGATAGGGCTCTCTAGTGACTAATGCTAAAGAGCTATGGGCTTAATTCGGGCATTACAGCCCACGAATGGTTTGGCAACCCATCTGGAACCTATAGTGTGGGGCTTAAGTAAATCCATTATTTTTGTTTTTTTGTTTTTTTATCCTATATTGTAAAAACACAGGTTAAAAGTATAATAAATATATATTTTTATAATTAATTTATATAAAATAAATAAATATTAATTTTGGATTAATTAATTAACCAATTAAAATTATCAACATATCAACTATGTTAAAATAAAAATTAACTTTTATAATTTTTTATATAAATTTATTATAAAAAATATATTTATTACAACTTTAAGGTACCAATTAGATAAATATTTTGTTTTTTTGCTTATTTTTTTTTGTAAATAGTAAACCCATTTATTTTGTAGTACATTCTCTGGTTTTTTTCCCATATCGAGATTTTTCACCTAAATTGATGTGTCGGTTACATTTGGCATTTGATTCTCATATTGATCTTTTACCTTTGTCGTGCTTCAGATGTCTTGTGTGTTTGTATTAGAATCCCCGATATATATTATTTATTAATTTATTTTTAGTTTTAGTTTTGGCTTTCAACAGTTGTATAAATTTTAACTGAAACAAAAAACCATAGACAGCATTGCCGAATGGCCTGTAAATCTCTGTAAATCTCTCTACTTCCGTACTTTCTGATTATTTCAACGAGTAGCATTAGAACTACAACCCAGAAGTCACTTCCGAAATGCCAAATCTAGACGTAAGTACATGGATAGACATGTTTTGTATTAGGAAATTAAATTATGATGCTATTTATTAACATATATCAATATTTGATTTGATTATCAAATTATGCCGCCATGCAAGATGCTATTTCTCTTCTGTGTAATCATCTCCAGTACTACTTTACACTGACAAAATGCAAATTATATCATGAACTACACATTATCATTGCCCCTTTTCTCCGTGTTTTCCGTGGGGTTTACTGATGGGGACCAAGTTCGGTTAGCAACTCTATGTTTCTTGAGCAATGGTAACACAGCTATTAACGTCAAATAGGAAGAGAAAGCGAAACCTTGAATCGAAAGGTAGGATGGAGAAGGTTCGAGCACCAAGGAGTCTCCACTTATTATGTGATAAACAATCTCTGACCATGGAAGCTTGTTCTGGGGTTAGAAACTGGCAGATCCATTCAGGTAGCTGTGAGTCTTCAATAACACCTTTCGCAAAACAATGCAACAATTTTGGCACCAACAGTTTCCCTCTACTGCTTATGGCAACAGATGCCCGGATGTAATCTTTCAATGACTTGTTGAGCAACTCATTCAGATTGTCAGGCCGGAAAATCCTCACCTGATTGCAATGAAAATAAGAATGGATATTATTAGGGTATTATATCAAAAGGCCAATTTTATTTTATTTTATTTTTTCATTTTGGTAGATGCATCACTTTTTCCAAGAAAATATCTCCAGCAACAAGTTATTAACAATACCATCATTATCTAACTAAGAAGAAGCAACTCATATGGTAAACAGGGAAGAATAAGGCACTGAGAGCATACTGCTGGTGAAGAATGCAATCCACAGCTTAAAGCAAAAGAGAGGAGAGGCTCAGGATGATCAATTGAATACTTTTGCTGCTCCTCAGATACCTTGAGTTTCTGAAGGGTAAGAACCAAGGCCTGATGTGATAAAAATGGTTAGGTGAGATCCATTTTACAGCATGAATTCATATAGAAAATGCAATGCAGAAGAGTTTATGTGGGGTAGAAACTGGAAATTACTGGAATAACCATTACGTACAATCTGTGGACGATGGGCAGGAGGTTTCGTTTTTAATAGACCATATTCAATGTCAGCTGCACTGAATGAGAACCCTCCAACAGTATAAGCAGCCTGCATGACATGTTGCTGTAATGTTAGCATTTGTTCCTGAAAGAAAAGTATAATGACAGGGAAAACAATGATATTGAACCTTCTGCATCAAGGAAAACAATTTGATATCACTTCTTGGAACTCCGTATGCTAAATAAGCCTGGAAGAAGAAGAAGAAGAAGAGAGAGAGAGGGAGAGAGAGAGAACACAATAAGCAAGTAAAAAGAATCAGATATGCAAAACCATGATAACACAAGTCACTTTAATTAAGGTCCTATGACAGAAGAAGAATTACATGCATAATCAGAGCATTATACAAGTTTATCCAAAATGCCAGCTTCTCATTGCAACTTAGATGAGAAGGATCCACTCTAGCTAACTGCTCAACTAGCAACCTGTGATCACAAAAAGAGGAATAATGAAAAGAATAACATGTCAGGTTCTTCACTTTTTGCATATCCACTTGATTATCATAGGCTGGTATGATGTGCAGTTTGCATTCAAATACAGGCAATGCTCTGAGCTGGTAGGAATGATATATCATATATGTTGCAGTTAAAATAAAATCAAACAGATCACCTAAATCTTTTGAGAGCCATGGCAGCATATTCAAGCTCTTTCTTCCCAATAGATAACCAAGAGACCTCAATGGCCACGCTGTAGGGTCCAATACTACTTGTCCAGTCCACTTTTCCAGGAACTCCATAAGGATCAAATGTTTTACCTCTTGAGGGAGTACTTGCTAAGGAAGTCTTGTTGGATGAGTCTGAGAAAGATGCCAAAGAATGGGCAAAGTGACTGTGGGGTGAAGATGGAGAAGCCATATATTTAGGAGCAGAAAGCTTAGATGATTCTGCTAAGAACAGGAAAATATCTCTCATTCGTAGCACCATCTCTTCAGATAGCTTATTGGGGTGGTGCCAAAGGTTCTCCACAAAATAATCCTTATTGATAATATCCTGCCACAGAGGCATATCATCCACATCTCTTTCCGCTTCCTCTGCGCTAGAAGGTCTTGCTATCTGCAACAAATTATTAAGTATTAACTGCTAACTCCTTTGCTCTTTACCCTAGCAAGATAGCAGAATCAACAAGCTAAAAGCATGTTCAGTAGCTTTCATGTTTTAAATATATGAGAGATCTTTTGTGGTCAAACTCAACATTATCCTTTGGGGTCATGCTTGAAATATAATTTATTTCAAAGTCAAGAATCAGAAAAATTTTTTCAGAGTAAAAGAGATAATGAATACCGGCTCTATCCTGTAAGCTGGAGAGCAATTAAAAAGTGATGGTGCAGGAGAGGAAGAATGCTTCAAACGATACTCAGCAAGACGTCGTTCATTCCTTTCCTGACTAAGCTGATATTGCAATGCAACAGACTCTTCCTCAAGCTTTGACACAGTGATCTCTAAAACAGCTATGCTATCTAAAAGCTCCTGTGCCTGAGATCCATATTTAGGAGCATTAGAACAGAATATACACCATATAAGATAAGCAAGTCAAGGGAGATTAACCTTATCCGGAAGCTTGGAAGGAGAATCTAAGGAGGGTAACTCAGAATGTTCAACTGCACTTGCTAGAGCTAGGTGCAAATTGGTCTCTTCTTGCAGCTGCTGTTGTAGCTTTAATACCTGTAATATTGACATGGTATCATTTAGGATAAACATGACATATTAAACATGAGGGGAAAGAAAGAGTTGGGTCACTCTGATACCCTGAAAATTCACAACTGAAGTAAAGTCATAGAATCACAGAGCTCATATATGCATCCTGAAGTAAGAGTTGATCTCTATCAAATCCAAACCCAGAAAATGCAATTACCCTTAAGTTTCATTCTTGAAGAGATATAATGATCCCAACACTTACCAGTTACCCTCATATTAACATACCTATTTCAGCGGTAGAGGAAAAAAAAAAAAAAGAGGAAAAAAGTTAGGGTATTAAATCGACTTACATCTTGCTCAAGCTGGTACTTGTAATGAGTCATTCTCCCACGTTTTTCTCGTTGGCTTCTTAGTCCCTGGGGCTTACTTTCCTGGTAACGAGATAGTCTTAAAAATCCAAAGTAAAATCCAACTAGACATTGCTTGCATGATAGAAATAACAACTTCCAAAACATAACTGAATTTTCTCTTTTGAAAGAAAACATAAAATCAGAAGAGTTCAATCTAAATGGAAACATTTAGCTTTAGCACTAAAAGCAGAAATCATTTGTCCATAAAAAGAACCCAGATCAATGACAGAGGAAAGAAAAGAAACAAAGCAAATGAAGAAAAAGATAGAGAGCTCAAATTCTTTACCTCCAAATCAGAAGAAGACTCCTCCTCAGCTGAAAATGACCGGCTTAACTCCTTCCCACTTTTCCACTGCAAATATCTTTGAATAGAACTTCCCCTGCAACAGTCATTATCATATTCATCTAGTATACCCACAGATACATAAAGACAAACCTTTTTAGCCAACAAATGAAGAGCCTCACCAATTGATTGGGAGAACAAACCCACCATTGCCATTGGCATTGTTACTACTACTAGGGCTACTTTGAGGGTCTTCTTCAAAAGCTTCTGCTTTGAGACAAAGCATATCTAAAACAAATCAACTCTAGTCAAAGTAAGCAGAAAAGGAGAAGAAGGAAACTTGGGAATCGCCAGTTTTCTACTCCATAACCAAGGACACACTCTAAACTCTAAAGATCCACTTTAATGTTTACAAGCATTATTTATTTCTTTATGGGTATGACTGATGGAAGAATGAATCAGAGAAATTCAAAAAAAAATAAAAAAATACAGTGGGGTCTGCAGTTCTTGGCTCCAGAGTGAGAAATTGACAGAGTAGACCCCATTTTTGCAGTCTAGGCATATGGAGGTCATTAGTTGGAACTTGAAAGTTGGGATCTAACCTCCCTTTTCGAGCGGGAGATTCACTCGCCGACAGCCCCCAAAGTCAATCCCTTTCATGTGATTTCATTACAAAAAGACAGGGCAGCCCAAATTCAGACCAAACCTCACTCGATGTCCTGAGCCCAAAAAGACAAGCCCAAGTTGGACAGCATCAGGGTTTGGTCCAGGTGCATGTTGCTGGAAAGTGCTTCCTGAACTAATTCCCAAGCTATGAATATATAAAGAACCTTTCTCATGAAAGATTACTTTTTTATCAAAGCAAGGAAGAAGAAAGAGACTTTACATGGTTCAGCTTTATGGACCAGACAAAAGATCCTGGTTGGAAAAAGGGAGAATTCCTTCTTTATGGGTTTAACTGTATCCAGGATGTCCACTCCATTCCTTTCTTCAATTACAATTTTTCTCTATGCCCATGAAATTATGTTTTCTACTTTTCTCGATGCTGAGTCTTTTTGGCCTCCTTTTCTCCATGATGATTCGAGATGGGTTTTTCCCTAGAATCAAGTTTCCTTGTTGAATCTTAATGCAATCCCCTCCCTTCCTTTTCTTCACGTAAAAGCACATTTCCAATCCTTCATATAATGACTTTAAAACATTCGGACTGACTCCTTCGTTAGTGCAGAAAAAAAGATGGGGAAAAACAGTAAGTTCTTGTTATGGTTCTTCATGGTTGTCTTGGCTTTTCAATGTCCAGAAAAGGGAGTTCAGGGACTGGGGATCAACTGGGGAACGCGATCAACGCATCCACTGCCGCCAAACATTGTCGTCAAGCTCTTGAAAGACAATGGATTCGACAAAGTGAAACTCTTTGAAGCTGAACCAGGAGCCTTGAAGACTCTAGGAAGAACAGGCATTCAGGTTATGGTGGGGATACCGAATGATCTCCTGGCACCGCTTGCAAGCAGCGTTACTAATGCCGTGAACTGGGTGCAACAAAATGTCTCCAACTACATATCGAGATATGGGACAAATATAAGGTACTTCCCATCATTCCTTATATTATAAATATAAGGTGGTAATTCCCTGTAAATTCTCTAGAATTTCGAACTTTATACATGGATGACCCAAGCTGCCTTGAACAGTGATACATTTACATTTCCATAAAATATGTATTAGAAGCTGATATATTTTGATAATGTCATTTACAGTTATGTTGCTGTGGGCAACGAACCTTTCCTGAAAACCTATGACAACAAATTCGTTTCAACAACTTTTCCAGCACTCCAAAACATTCAAGCAGCTCTCATCAAAGCCGGCATAGCCAAACAAGTGAAGGTGACAATTCCGCTGAATGCCGACGTGTACCAGAGCGACAGTGGCCTGCCATCCGGCGGTAATTTCCGGGTTGACATCCTAGACCTCATGACCAACATCATCAAGTTCCTTCGCGACAACAATGGCGTCCTCACCATCAATATCTACCCCTTCCTCAGCCTCTATGCCGATCCCAATTTCCCCAAAGAGTACGCATACTTTGACAATAAGGCAAGCCCTCTTCAGGACGGCCCCATTAGTTACACCAACGTCTACGACGCCAATTTCGACACCCTCATCTCCGCGCTTGAGAAGAATGGATTCGGGTCAATGCCTGTTATCATCGGAGAGGTTGGCTGGCCAACGGACGGCGACCCAAATGCGAACGCGGAAAACGCCCAGAGGTTCAACGAGGGCCTCGTCAGCCGTATAATTCAAGGTCAAGGCACCCCCAAACGCCCCACACCCACGGATGTCTACATTTTTTCCCTAATCGACGAGGACAACAAGAGCGTTGCACCGGGTAATTTCGAGAGGCATTGGGGAATGTTCAATTATGATGGAACCCTAAAATACCAGCTGAATTTCGGGGGCGGGAAATCCCTAGTCCCTGCCAAAGGCGTCCGCTATTTAGCGAGGCAGTGGTGCATTATGTCGCCTCAGGCAAGCATATCGGACCCCAATTTGGCCGACGGTATCAGCTACGCCTGCCAGTTCGCCGATTGCACGAGTCTCGGATACGGGTCGTCGTGCGGCAACCTCGATGCGCAGAGAAATGCTTCTTATGCATTCAATATGTACTTCCAGACGATGAATCAGAGTAAAGATTCCTGTAACTTTTCCGGCCTAGCAGCGATTAGCACCACTGATCCGTCTCAGGGATCTTGCCATTTCGAGATCATGATCGATCTGGGCAAACAAGGGCGAGCTTCTCCATCAGGGAGCCCTTCGTCGGAGGCAATGAGAATGAAAAACGTAGTCGCTGCGGCTCTCACCGTAATGGCGGCGTTGGTGCTCCTCTGCGGTGTTTTCTGACCTTCCTCAACCGTTGCAGTGTAGAGATTTTTCCTCAACTCATTATTTATTTTATTTATTTAGAAAATCAGCTAATTTCTTCATTTTTATTTATTTTAAATAATTTTTCTTTATGGAATTTGTGGACTTTGTTCCTTAGACCCATTCTGGGGGATTGGGTAGAAGAAGATACATCTAATTTTATTACTGGGTTCGGCCCATTTGTTTCAGTTATAGTTTAATAAATGCCAAAACCCCAAAGCCCAAATGCCAAAAGGAGACATGTTTGTTCATAAAAAGAGAGAGAGAGAGAGACATGTTTAATTAAACTCTTTTTTTTTTTTTTCGAAATCATTCAGGAATCAATTAATTTTTTGAATGCATGATGTGAATGTGCAGGGTATGTTTTTAAAATCATTCAAAAATAAATTAATTTAAAAATACACAAAAATTAATACAAACACACACGGAACATATAAGTTCTTCACAATCCATGTCTGGCTATTACGGGAAGCCTCATCCGTAACCATTTTGGGAATTAGATCAAGACTTCCCCCATAAAAATTGAGATTAGTGCCCGTTTTATTGCTGAAATTTGGGG